GACATTTTGGAAATCTGGGACACGATAACAATAGAAGTGGGCAGTGAATAAGGAACATCTTTTCTGATTTCCTTAAAACCAGCAGTTATACTCACCACTGGGAGTTGAGAAAAATGCTTCAAATTCTTCACATTTTTAGGGGCCATGGGTTTCTTAGACTGTGACCATACTTGCATTACTGTGGACTCTGCTAAGTAACCCTGGGGGTTGTAGCTCCCAAAGGATGCTGAGTATGTTTTTGGAAGTTCCCAACATAATTCAGTTTTTGCTGAAACCACATAAATTAGAGTGAAACTGGTTTAGGTTTCAAGGTTGCCAGTATCTATGCCAGTGCTTCTTTGTCTAACGCAGCCACATGAAATGAAAACCAGGTCTTGTTATAGTAGTCTGAGGATGTTTTGCCTAGCCTAGGAACAGTCATCAGATGTGCTTCCCAGTGTCATAGAAACAGCTGTCCCAGATACCTTTGTTTTTGGCCAGTGAGGGAAAGACAATGGCTGCTATCAAATATTGAATCTCATAGCATTGTTCAAAAGCAGTTTGTGAGCTTTCTAGGAAAATAATTAATTGTAAAAATTTTCCATTTCAAATAATTTAAACGTTTATAATGTTACCAAATTTAATGTTTGCAAAAGAAGGCAAGTCTACTGCGTACAAGCCTGGACCATGTACAAGCACTGTCCATACCTCAGAGCCTACATTTAGACCTTCTAAAGCGATTGACCTAACAACTGTAGTTAAACAGACTATGTTTATATATGTGCAGGACAGAAAATTTCCCATGGGAAAATATAGCATTGGAAAATTTTCTACTCCACATCACTCTTCAGAAGGCACTTCTCCAAGTAGCTCATAGGGAAACATAAACTTAGTCTGCTAAGAGGATAGATGAAACCTACTTGGGTGGGTGTTTTGCCTGTGCTCCCACCCATCTCAATGGGGCGTACACTGGGGGACAACAGTGAATTATGGACCCTTCGCTGTTGCCTCCTAATTCCATCATGGATGAGGATGCAGGATAATCTGAAACCTAAAAGCATTTCATTGAACTGGATACTAGAGGAAAGGAAAGAATAAGAGATTGGATTTATACCCCAGCCTTCACTTGGAGTCTCAGAGTGGCTTACAAACTCCTTTCCCTTCCCCTCCCCACAACAGACATCCTGTGAGGTAGGTGGGGCTGAGAGAGCTCTGAGAGAACTGCTCTTTCAAGGACAGCTCTGTGGCTTCCGCGAGGTCATCCAGCAGCAGCAAGTGGAGGAGTGGGGAATCAAACTCAGTTCTCCCAGATTAGAGTCCATGCACTTAACCACTATCAGTCCCATGGTTCTTACCAACTCAGTAGACTTTGAATTTTGAATGGATGCTGTCTGACCGAGGAGAGCTGTTCTTAAGGGTAGATGATTAAGTGCTTGAAACTTGTCTGTCTCTGGGTGCAGTCAGACGGCGTGCTGAGAGCGGGGTAAACTGCTCCGGTTCTGACCAGGTTATATTTGATCTGGATAAACACGATCATACTTACCTCCCTTATCCCGCCTCACCGCGCAGTCACGTCACTCCACAGCGGGACGCATGGGAGCATGTGTCGGCGGGTTTTTTATTTTTTCTCGATTTGCGCATGCGCATAGGCGCTCATCTGTAGAATGGGGGGACAAAACTACCATGGCACATGTGCAGAACCACCAGGGCGAATCAATCCAACCTCTCCTACAAAAGACTTCCCTTTAAACGTTTGACCCGAAAATGGCCTCCGTGAGCTCCCGAACTCACCTAAACTCTAAAACAAGTGACTGTTTAAATGTTGGTTTTCTAAAGACAGTAGCGGAGCTCCGCCTATGTGCGCACTGCCGACGCTAAAAAAAAAAAAAGGCGGGGGAAAAGCAGAAGCCTCAGGGAGCTTTCGAACGGGGAGGGGGTTTAAACCGGAAGTGGCTTGATACCGGAGCGATCACATAGGAGGAAAATGTGGCTTTAAACTGGAGAGCTGAGAAAACACCATTTTGGGACCTGGTAACAAAATACTCCAGGTTAAAGTGGTTGTGAGTCGGAAACCAACGGCTGGGGACGGGAGGCAGATGTTGGCTGTGTGATCGTGCGTATAAAATCCATTGCTAAACTGTCACGACACCAGATCAAACGGCGCGTCTGAATGCATCCTCTGGTTCCATTGTGGTGCCTCTCTTCTCTAGTTTTGCTTGCCTGCTAATACATTTACATGAGGCAAAGCTCAGGGCATTGTGTTCCAAGCTTCTGATAGCTGAGGTATTCTTTTTTTGCAGAATTAAAATTGCCGATTCACAAGCACTCCTTGTTTTTGAGATCAGCAGCCTTAAAGATAAAACACAAGCTTCTTGGTCAGAGATGCTTCCAGAAGGTGATGCTGAAAAAGCTGAGAGGGGAAAGGACTGTTGGAAAACATCTGCAATTCCTGCTAATAGAGTTACTGGGTCTCCCTAAGTATATCTTCATGCCACATAGTAGGAACTGCTACAGAACATTTTTTAGTGCCCATCCAAGTCAAAGTGCCCGCAAAGAACACGCAAGCGAGACTGCAGTCATCTCGTTTACATTTGCCCAGTAGGGTCTTGGTGCTGAGACAGTTTCCAAGCCTGCTGTGTAGCTGTCCAGCTTGCTGGCAGAATATCACAAGTGTCAGCTGAGAAGGTTGAAGGCCGCCATTTAAAACCTCCTTGAATAAGAAGGTTCAATTGGAAGTTGATAAAATACTTAATTATTATCAGGCTAAGTAGCAGGAGTTTCCGTGGTCTCTCAGGTTAGTTGCACAAGGCCTCTTAATCTTGTGTTAATGAGTTTATCTCTAGTCTAGATGCCTTCTTGAACTGCCTTTTCTGTGGAGGTGTGGGTTACAGACTTGGCCTCCCCAAGCAAGTCTGTGAGGAAGGTCGCTGTTCCCTGTTTTCATCTTGTAGACCTTGGAATCTAAGCAGGGTCAGCCCTGGTTGGTACTTGGATGGAGGGGCCACCAAGGAAGTGCTGAGGCAGATAGTGGCAAACCATCTCTGAACATAACTTGCCTTGAAAATCCTTTGGGGTCACTATAAGTTGGCTGTGACGTGAGAGCACTTTCTACCACCAAGCCTGTTGATTGGATTTGGATCAATATTCTGTTATTCAATTGACAATGTAGACTTTCTAGGAATCTTGAAACCCAAGGGGGCAAGAGAAAATATAAAAACATGCAGTACTTGTTAAAAGTAAACTTTACTGCTTTAACAATACACTGCTGCTCCTTTAGATGTCTTAGCACATGGAGCTCAGTTTTTTCTATCTGTGAGATTGAAAAATAAACAAAACACCTTTTACTGAATGAAACTATTACTTAGATGGTCTCATACAGTTATAATAGGATTTGCAGCATATTTAGGTGTACAGTTGAACTTTATAACAAAAACATTAACTGTTAGTGTGTTCCTGATATTGAGGACACGAAATGCCTACCGGGGTTGTTTGGATGTGGTCATCTCTCTGAGGTTTGAGAACTGAGGATTTTGAGCACTTTATTGTACCGAGACGGTTTTAAATTGTATAATATGTTTTAAATGCTACTAAATTGTACTTGATGTTTTTATTATTGCAAGATTTCTTGCTATGTAAACCGCCCTGAGCCCTACGGGGGAGGGCGGGATATAAATGTAATAAATAAATAATAAATAAATAAATAGATGGTCTCATACAGTTATAATAGGATTTGCAGCATATTTAGGTGTACAGTTGAACTTTATAACAAAAACATTAACTGTTAGTGTGTTCTATACATTTGTACATTGTAGCAGTTTAATTGTGGACAAAACTGATTTCATTTGAACAGTAGACTTATCCTTGAAAAGACATTGTATATATTTATAGTGCACATGAAGTATCTGATACTGTAGATTGCTTTTTATTAAGAAAATCTTATGCAGAAAGTCTTATGCTATACATTTTGAGCGAGTCAAACCTTATCTTAAACATGTTTCATTAATTCGTTCCAAAGTAGAAAATACTTCACAGAAGATTTTAAGGGGCCCCCCTCATAGGAAAACAGTTCTGGGGGCAGGTTTTTTCATGCCTTTCCCCCTGTATTTCCTCAGGTCAACGTCTCTATCAATTGACCAAATCTGTGCCTATTAATATATACATGTAAATGTTTTCAGTGGAAGATGGAGTTAAGTTGGGCCATTCACTGCTGAGCTGTTCTGTTGCAATGGATTTCTCAGAACTGGCTTTAGGGAGGCTGAGGTAGCTTAGTAAATGGTGATGCTAAAAGCCACAGCCTTGCAATAAAAAGGAGTCAGCTACAGATGTGCTCACTGTTGTTCAAGTTCAGTTGTGCTAGAGATGGATCCACAGCCTACCTGGGGTTTTTTCACTGTGGCCAACTTGGCTGCCAAATAAGTGTACCTATTTATGATGCACACTTTTGACACATTCTCCTGTTTGAGCATGCACTTGAAAGCATACATGTCTGCTAGAAAGAGGAATCTGCGAAGGGAGGTTGGCTTCAGGTTTTGAGAAACTTAAAAATACCGGATGGGATATAACATGCTTGGGATGAGCTGAGTACATTGGACTGTACAGGAAGGAGTTCTAGCAGTGCCTCCAGGTCCCCAGCCGGCAGCCTCTTTGGAGGAGTTAACATATGGAGCAGCTGCATTAAATTTGGGCCAGTACCTCTCAGTAGTCTTCCCTTCCTTTGAATGTGGTCCAAGGAAGGCTTCAACACAGCAATTCTTTCTTCTAAGGGAGGGAAGTCTACCCTTGGTTGTGGGCACTGTTGGGGCAGCTCTCTGCACCTTTTGTCTGTGATTCTGATCCTATTTCATGCAGGCAAATGAAGGGGGGGGTGAACAAATTGCACCCCTCCTCCTGCTTTCCCCACCCTTCTGCTCATTTCCTCTACCACTTCAGTTCTGGATTGTCCTCTTGTTCTCACAGTACCCAAGTAGAATGTAGCAAAGTGCTATCAACTTACCTTTTTTCCTTTTCTGTTTCTCTTCCAGCGGGGATCTGACGAGCTTTTCTCTACTTGTGTCACTAACGGACCCTTTATCATGAGCAGCAACTCTGCTTCTGCAGGTAAATTTGCCAGCCCCTAAGAGTTGAGCAATTCCACCCCTGAGGTTTAGCCCATGTCCCCTTAGGCCTATTTGCATGCTTGTTCCAGTTGACTTGGCAGGATGAGGATCTGCTACTATCTTCTCTTGGGGGGGGGGTGTTTCAGCAGAGGCCTCCCCGTCCTTTTTTTCTAATGGCTTATGCTAATGAAGTACACAGCACAGCTTAGAAGAGCAGGTCAGGGTGCAGAACAGATGGCTGCAAGTGTGTGTTCCAGTAGGACCACTGCAGGGGGCACCCCTGAGAAGTGAGTAGGCTTGTTCAGTTTGTAGAGTGGAAAAACAGCTTTTAAAACTGGACTGCTTGGCTGGCCCGCCCCCACATGGCCTGGAGCATCTTCGGAGCAATTGATACCCAAGCAAGAATGGCAGGTGTGCATTCTTGGCATCCAGTGGCTACACAATGCCCTGTGACTGAGCGCTGTCACAACCCAAGCACTTCCCAGAAGTAGTTAAGAATTTGACAGCCGAGGAGCTTGCTTGAAGGGATGTGAGGTTGGAAGAGTTAGCTATTGATGCAGTATCAGCCTGGAGCAGAGTGCATCTCAGAGGTGCTACTTGGCAATCCATGGGGCCTTATTAGAATTATCTGTCTGAAGATAAGTTTTTTGCCCACGTGGATGGGTAAATACGGTATGAAAATGTAATGTGCATTCTATATTGTGTGTGTGAAGGCTTCGAATAATGGTAATAGGCACTCCTAAAATTACTTTTCAAACTGTCCTCAGTTTCAAAATAGTGAGATTTCTTTCAGCAAGCACATCACATTTGCAGGAGGTGATTTTGGCGTTTCTGTTACTGACCAGCTGGACATTGCATCCCTGGGGTGCTGTCTCCGTATAGCTGTGCAGTGTGGACATGGCTTGTTCCTGTGCTGGTACAGAATCTGCTCCTGCTGTCCATACAATGCAAGAATCTGCTGCTTACTGAGTCCCCTGTGGCTGGGAGGAAGCAGCTGCCGCACAAGAGGGGTGCAGTTTTAAGCTGGTTCCCTGTTTCACTTGTGTATGAATCAGCCCTGAAAGTAGTACCGAACAAGTGCTGTCTAGACACAGATAACTCTAGCATCTGTTGAGACCTTTGAAAATAATTGTGTTGCAGGTGATTGAAATACAAATTAGCCTTTGCTCTCCTGGTCAAAGTATCTCTGGATATATAGTGTGTGCCCTTCTGAAGAGATGCACCCCAGTTTTGCTTGGAGGAAGTCTATATTCTGTGGGTAAAACAAAAATGAGGCAATAGGGGGGTCTGCTGAAGCTGTTGACTTTGATTGTGGAGGTTGTATAACTTGCTGGTGTTCAGACTGGGTGTGGTCCTCTGAAGGCACAACTGGCTGCACAGGTTGCATTGCTTTTGTCAGTTGCAAGCTGGGCCAAGCAGGAAATGGAATGCTAGAAGTCTGAAATCGTTTAAATTGAGGGTGGGGTGGTGAAGCTACTTGGCGTGAGGGTAATTAAAACACTTGCTGTAGGGAGGCTTCTTCTAGGTGGATTTCCCCCCCCCCCTTTTATAGTTTATGCTGATGGGGATACAGAATGGTGGAGTTTGGCTGTTTCAGGTCTCCTTACATTGCCCTTGGTGGCTGAACCTTCAGAATTAAACATACGTGTTTTGCTGGAGTAATTTGGCAATATTGACCCTAGTCAAAGAGGTGATCTGGTTTAAGTACCAGTGAGTCTAAAGGTGGTATCCAGAGATGAGCTGAGAGAATGAAGTGTTATCAAAACCTAACACTCCCCCCCCCCCAATCCAAACCTTATTTGCTATGTGCATGTTTATCCTTCCATCTTCACAGACAAGGGCCTGTGGGACTGAGTATGTACTTCTGAGTGCGCAGTAATGTGGGAAATGTAGCCAGTTGGGATTTTAACCCATGCCCATCCAATCTCATTTCAGCCAATGGAAATGACAGCAAGAAATTCAAAGGGGACAATAGAAGTCCAGGAATCCCGTCACGAGTAATCCATGTCCGCAAACTGCCGAACGATGTAACCGAAGCTGAAGTGATTTCTTTGGGGTTGCCTTTTGGCAAGGTCACAAACCTCTTGATGCTGAAAGTAAAGAACCAGGTACTTTGCTTGCTCCATAGGTTATAGAATGGTATCTCTATTGAGCTCCAGGCCTTCACTGTCCCCTTTAAATCAAGTCACCTCATTGACAGCTGTTTAAAAATAAAACCTGAACAATATAATGCCAATTACCTTAAATGCCAGTCTTTTTTCTTGTCTCTTAAGCTGGTCTAGTAACTTCCTTGGTTTCCATAGGGCCCGTTCTGGGCCTTCTTAACTGAAATTCTGAGCCGAAGGTCTAGTAACTTCCTTGGTTTCCATAGGCCTGTTCTGGGCCTTCTTAACTGAGAGCCGAAATTCTCAGGTGCCAAAGCCTGCTTATATAGACAAAACCAGGCAAGACTGCTGTTGCTAACAAATTAACCGTGTCCTGTCATGGTACTGGCATTTTTAAAGTACTGCTTCTGAAAGTGACACCCACCCACCCCTGATCTGTGATGCGTGGACTTGACCTCTTTTGTTCTTGGTGAAGACTCAGCTGAGTATATTCACATCTTTAAGAGAAACTGCATTGGGTCTCCATCTGTGAAACACAGAAGAAGGGATTTACAGGCAGGAGAAGTAGAGGCCATGCTTAAAACATACAGCTTCTAGGAAAGCACTAAAAACAGAGTGTGGTGCAGGGTCACATGTTGGCCACTGTCAGACGATGCATGTATCTCTTGGATTTTACATCACAGAATTATTGGGGGCCAGTGCTGTTGCTCAAGTCTGCTGGGCTGAGCAAGCCACATTGTCCTGGGTATCAGTTGAAATTTAAAAGTTCCTTGTCTCTGGTGTACCTGTGGGCCAGCTTCCAACCTCTGTGGTGTCTGGCACGTGGGCTGGGAATTCCTTGGGCTGATGCATAGTCTTCCTAACCAGGCTTTCATAGAACTGAACACCGAAGAAGCCGCGAGCACAATGGTGAGCTACTACACGACAGTCCCTCCGGTTCTCCGGGGCCAGGCCATCTACATCCAGTTCTCCAACCACAAAGAGCTCAAGACTGATAACTCTCCAAACCAGGCGGTGAGTTATGCTTGGCTTTGCTTACTTGGCCCGAATCCTCATTCGTCAGGCTCCTGCAAAGGGCTGTTGGATGTTCCCAGCTGTAGAAGCCAGAACTCAGATGTGGGGCCTCTGACTTGCAAATGTGGGATATTGTGGGGGTGGGTGGGTGAGACCATGTTAGTGCAACCAGGAATGAAGCCGTGGCATTGCCTGGACTTGCTGGTGAGAGAAAGGAATGGGGTTGATGGGTACTTCAGGCAAGTTGCAGAGAGAGGTGCCATTTCTAAAGAGAGCTTGGGGGGTGGGGGGAGCACAGATTGCCATGCTGGGTCAGACTAGAGGTTCATCCTTGGCCCCAGTAGCAGTCTCTAGGAGGCTCATGGGCAGGAGGGGAATGGCTCAGTGACAGAACACACGAGTTGCTGCTCCTGATTGTGCAGGGTCTGTTCCTGAGTATCATGGCTTGCACAGCGGAGGGATGTGTGCAAATAAGGTGACTGTTTCTGTTAAGCGCTGCTTAATGTCAGACATCAGACCACATCCTAGTCAGTGATCTTGAGAGATGCATAACGCATGAGTGTCAAATACTACTTCACCTGAACTGTCCAAAACCCACTGTTGTTGGAAGGCACGGCAGTCTTCACGTGTGGAGTGAATCATACTCACGTCTCTCTTCCGATAACCACGGTTGTGCAAAAAAACCTGACTGCTCCGAGGCAGACTTGCAGGGAATCTGTCCATTAAAGCAGCAGCCATGGCTTTGCTCTTCAGTGTCCTGTTGCTTTGAGCGTGAATAAAACCAGGGACTAACGTGGAGGCCTGCAAGTGTGTATGTCTGGTATCCACTTGGATTAACACCCAGTGCCCTTTGACTCCCCCAGCGTGCACAGGCGGCCTTGCAAGCCGTGAACTCCGTTCAGTCTGGCAACCTGGCCTTGTCTGCCTCTGCCGCCGCCGTTGAAGCTGGGATGGCCATGGCCGGCCAGAGCCCCGTCTTGAGGATCATTGTGGAAAATCTCTTCTACCCAGTTACCCTGGACGTTCTGCATCAGGTGAGAGACTGCCTCCCGTCTGTCTGAGTGGCTGTTACCTGGTAGAAGCAATGTTTGTAGCCAGCCGTGGAGTGCATTGGGTCCGTGGTGCCTTTCTCCGTGAATGCTTTGGCCGCAGTTGGCTTTGGTCAAAGGATCTACACTCCCACTGCTAATACGACATTTTTCTCCTGCTCTTCCTCTCTGTGTGGGTCGTACTTTTTTTTTATCCTCATGACAACGTGGTGAGAACCGCGCACCTCAGCTGAGAAAGACCCAAGGCCAACCCACCGTCAGTGCACCACATTGGATCTATTAAGTATGACTCTAGGCCAGTGAGAGAGGAGTCCTTTTCCCCGCCTACTTGGAACCCCAGCTGGACTGCAGGTGTCTTCCTACTTGCCAGTGTTGGATCCCATTGTAGGCCTTTTCCTCCTGCATCTGCAAGCATCACCCCCCAGATACTCTGGAGTTATTTCCAGACAAGCACATTTCCCTGCCTCAGGGAAGAAGACACTGTGGGCTTTGTCTAGAAATGTTGCGAAACATAACAACCCTGCTGAATCAGACCAGTGGGCCATCTAGCCCAGTGTTGTGTTCCACGCAGTGGCCTGACAGTTTCCCCGGAGGGGCCAACAAACAGGTCTCAGAGGTCAGGGCCTTCCTTTTGATATGCCTCCTAGCCCTGGGGTTCAGACATTGACCCCCAACGATGGCGGCTCCCTTTAGTCATCAGGGCTAGTAACAATTGACTGACCTTTTAAAGCTATTTATGCTCGTGACCATCACCTACTCCCACTGGCAGTGAATTGCGCTATTTAATTCCTGGTTGAGTTACGTATTTTCTCTTGTCTGTCCTGAACCTATTTCCCAACAGCTTCAATGGATTGCCTCCCAACCCACCTCAGATGTAGCAATTATGGGAAAGAAGAAATAACTAGCTACCTTTTCTGCCCTGCGCGTAATTTTAAAAAGCCTCTGTCATGTCTCCCTTTAGCCATCTAGACTGAAAAGCCACTGCCTCTTCAGCATCCTTATTAGTGCTCCAGCCTCTTCACCATCTTAGCCTCTTCACCATCTTGGTTTCTCACAATTGCAGCTTTCATATGAAAAAAGATGCAGGAGTAGGGCATGCATGCACGCTCCATAATCGGTGTGTGCATTCCTTGCAGAAAGAAATGGGTGGTGTGCTAAACTGTACTTCAGGCCTCTTGAAGTGCGAGCTTTTCATGCAAATGAGGATTTTGCTGACCCAGCAGACCAGTCATCCAGAGAGGTGGTCTTGGGTGCCGCACGACGCGAGCATCACTTTCATTCCCTCCCCGTGCACACCACTTGCAAAAGCCGGGGCCTGTCTTGGCCCAAGGAGAGTGCTGCCGATGGCCTCTTCAAGCTCTGCTTGGCAACGGGCTCTTCACAGTTCAGAGAGGCCTTTCTGGGGGGGTAAAACCCTCTGCCAGATGAGCGCTTGGCTCTTTCGGCCCTCGCCGCACGAGGGGCTCTGAGTAGCAGAGGCCCTCAGGAGGAAAGCAAGTTCAGCAGTTCCATGCTGCAAAGGAAAATCAGGGAGGTCTACACAGTCCCTTGTCTTGAGCAGGACTGATTATCTGGGTTGCCGTTGGGGAGAGCTCCCTTTGCCTTGAAGAATCCCAGCTAAAGAGGTCTGTCTGATTTCAGCAGCATGGCAGAAGCTGCCTTGTGCCAGAATTCCCAGACTCCATCATAGGCATGCATCCTGTCCTGCACTGGCTGCCAGATCTGGCGCTTGTAAACAGCTGCAATACCCCAGTGGTACCTGCCAGCCCTAGACTTCCTGGTGGGAGTTGCTGGGATGCGGTCGCCCGGACTTGAGAGGCTTGTGTGCAAGAGATCAGAGGCACCTCCCCGCTCTGCATAAAGCCTTGCTGTTAAGACCGTCATTTGCCGGAAACACCTAGGGAAAGGGTCGCCTCCAAAGTGGTCATATCGGCGGCCCAACTTATTTTTTTTCCTTTTGGCAGATCTTCTCTAAGTTTGGCACCGTGCTGAAGATAATCACGTTCACCAAGAACAACCAGTTCCAGGCCCTCTTGCAGTATTCAGAGCCCATGAGCTCTCAGCACGCCAAGTTGGTGAGTTTCCCTGAGTGCAGAACCATGGGTCAGTGGGCAGAGAGCTGCTTCAACTGCAGTGGAAGGATTTTGTAGCCCACATTAAAAAAGGGAGACTAGAGGGGAAACTTGCACTAGCGTGGGTGCCAGGCCCTGCAGTTGGCGGTACCACCTGGTCTTTTGGGGTGGGTGAACTGGACGTGCTGCGGTTAGAGGGAATGGATTGCTAAGCTTTCTGAGCTGGGATGCTTCCTTTTGGCTCAGAGGCAAGCCACAGCGGAGGTGATCTGTGCACTGGCAAGCCACATTAAAGGCTATTGCCTCCAGGAGGCCATTGTGCCTCGAGGCTGAAGTACCCAGTGGAGGGTAAGACACAGGGAGGGGAAAACAAACCCGACCCAAAAACTGAAATCAAGAACCAAAAGGGTGAGAAGAAAGTCTAATGAAGGGCCGATATTAAAAACCTTGTTAAAACATATTGTATACAAAAGCACGTGTATGTATCAGAAAGACAGTTAAAAACATAAGGGCCCAATGAAAGCCTCGTAAAAAAGTAAAGCCCAAACACAAGGGCCAATACACATGACCTGATGTGTTTCTGCCCTATTGGGGCCTTTTTCAGAGGTCAAACAATATTGAGGTACACGTAATTTAAATACATATTGCAATAAGATAACAAATAAGTGAATATTGGACCCAGACACTCTAGCTCTGACTTTGATAGCCACACAGGTGCTTTTTGGGCCTAAATTGGAAGATGTTCTAATTCAGCAACTGTGCATTTGGCACCAGACACATGACTCTCATCTTTTGAGGCCTCACAAACATCTTTGTCTTGTGTCTTTAGATCTTGCTGCTTAACCTTCCTTTTCTTGGTCCAATATTCACTTATTGGTTATCTTATTGCAATATGTATTTAAGTTACGTGTACCTCAGTATTGCTTGACCTCTGAAGAAGGCCCCAATAGGGCAGAAACACGTCAGGTCATGTGTACTGGCCCTTGTGTTTAGGCTATACTTTTTTACGAGGCTTTCATCGGACCCTTATGTATGGTTTTAACTGTCTTTCTAATACATGCATGTATTTTTGTATATTATAAGTTTTAACAAGGTTTTTAATATTGGCCCTTCATTAGACTTCCTTCTCACCCTTTTGGTTCTTGTACCCAGTGGAGGGGACAGGAAGGTGGACGTAGAACTCAGAGCCATGGTTACAGTTTCGGGTTGCTTGAATGACAGTGAGCACAAGCCCCCATTTGGTGTCTGAACTGAGTCATATTGGGGACCCTTACGCCTCGCGTGGCAAGGTGACCTACAGCAGCAGATTGTGGAGTATCTCACACAGGGGTTCACAAGCACGCACAGAGTTCCCTTACCATGTTCTGAGTTACTGAAGATCTTATTAACGTGCCTTTCTCCTAAAAAGGGCTCGAAAGGCTGCTCTGGTCTTCAGCCTCCCCTGCCATGGTTTTGGTGTAGATTTGCCTCTAAATTCTTAGCTGAGTATACAAGAGCAGCACAGAGTGGGAGGAGCAAGTGGCAGTGTGGGCCATTCTCTCCGCCATTGCCATGAGCAGGGGTCTCCTGGGGTGCCTCCTGCATCCCTCCGCACTGTATAGCCAGGAAATGTGGACCTTTTAGAATTTCTGCAGCGTGGAACAGCTTTTCTTGTGTCCACATGCCGAATATAGGGCAGTGCAGTGACTCTGCTGCAAAAGGGAGGCGCATAGATTCCCAAGCACTCAGCCAGTCTGACACAGCCTGCAAGACACCCCAAACCACACACTTTGTCACGCAGTTGTGGCTGATGCTCTGGGCCTGTGTCCGAGAGCACTAGTGGCTCACTCCCCCTGTCTGCTTATCCTCGCTGCAGTCCCTGGATGGGCAGAACATCTACAATGCCTGCTGCACACTCCGCATTGAGTTCTCCAAGCTCACCAGCCTTAATGTGAAGTACAACAATGACAAGAGTCGGGACTACACACGGCCAGACCTGCCTAGTGGGGACAGCCAGCCCTCCCTCGACCAGACGATGGCAGCCGCCTTTGGTAAGGGACTGAGACGAGGGCAGCGGGCGAAAGTGTGTGCTGTGAGCCTGGAAAAGGGTGTGTGTGTGTTTGAATCAGCTTGGGCCTTCAGCTGTCTTTTGACGTCACTCCCCTCCTTCCCCCATACTGTAATTTGGGGCATGACAGGTGGCAATGAGAATAGTGTCATATTTCACAAAGAACTGCGGCTATTATTGTAGGCTCCCTTACTGTATTCTTCTGGCTTGCTAGGATGTTCTTGGAGGTACAGCAATCAGAACACACACACACCCTTCTTGGGCTTGTATTGTGTCTCCAGAATAGCTCACAAGCATTCTTATTAAAACTTTTTTCTCACACTCACACACACCCTACCCCAGGTGTATATTGCAAGTAAATTTGCAGTGGGGTATATTGGATGGGGTCAGGGCTCTCTCCTTGTCCAGCACCCAAGGTGTCAGTGCTACTTACATTTCTGATGGTAGTTCCCAGATTGGCATGGCAACTAGAAAACAGCATAATGTTTGCAGACCATTGGCCAGATTAGTTTCATGTAATTCTCCTCCAGTGTTTTTGGAGTTTTCAAACTACTAGGCCTTTGAATACTGTAGAGATGGGGGGAGGGCAGCAGGAGGTCAGAGTGCTGATTTTGTGTTCTCAATCTCACAGAGGTGCTCCGGACCTCAGTGGGCTTTTGCTTTCCCCTTTTGCTGGTAACAGCTGCTTTTCTTCCTTGCACATTTCTGCTGGGTCCTCTTAGTGCCGCTTAGTGCTTGCCTATTAGGCTAGGCATTAAAGTGCTCCAAACAGTCTCTCTCCTTGCTGCTGCCTCACCCACACTCGCAGGCGTATGGCAGCTCTTGCATGATGGTGCAGACGCAGTTTCACTTTCCTGTTGGCATCATAATGGCTGCATTGGCCATTACAGAGTGCTAGTTCAGATGTGAAACAAGCCCACAGCTGGTGCAGATGTGCTGTTAAAAATAGAGAGGCTGTGTTGGACCAGCTGCCCTCCAAAGAGTAGCTCCCCAGGGCTGCATTGAAATGAGCTCAGGGCGACTGGCTTTCGAGCAAGGGAAACCTTTACCTATACGTTGGGAAAATGCAAACATTTGCAGGTAAGTTTATGTCGTCCTCTAGACTCTTTAACAACAACATACCTCTATGCTTTTTCCCCTTAGGTGCTCCAGGAATAATTTCTGCCAATCCATATGCAGGGGCTGGCTTCCCTCCTGCTTTTGCAATTCCTCAGGCTGCAGGTATTATATCCTCTCCCTGTTGCATTTCCCAGAAGCTCATGACTTTGCCATTCAGCTAGCCCTCCTCCTCCCCTCTCCTCTCCTCTCCAGGCAAGTTGAGTGCCTTCCCTCCATTTGGCGAACGAGAACATTTCCCAAGGGAGTATCATAGCTGGGATGCAAAGTGTCCCTTCAGTCAGGCCTGGCGGTCTTCTGAAACTTCCTGAGTGAAGGCTCCCAGCCACACAGACGGCTTTGGGAACTCCACAGTTTAAAATGCGGCATTCCCCAGGGGACCCCTTGAGCTCTCTGCCGGGCTCCTTGAGTCCCCAGCCAGTGACCAGGCAAAACTTGTCCCCCGTTTTGAGTTCATTTGTGAACCTTTGCAGACCTGCCCCAAAGTAGAACGGCTCCGACGTGTTTTGCCATGGTAGCTCGAAGCAGAAGGTTCAGCGTCTCCCCGTGTGGAGGGCTGGGCTTGGGGAAACCGTGCCTGCTCACAGCTATTTTGTGGGTTCCTAAAACTCAGCCTGAGGTCAGGCAGTGGTAGCCTGCGTGGGTCGGAAGTATCACAGTGAGGGGCACAAAAGAGCGGGTGCAGTGGTAGGTTCCAAGGGAGGCTGTAGGATCTGTCACGCTTCTGATCACGGCTGCTTTCAGTGGGGTGGGGTTCTAGTGCAGCTGCAACATCTGGCTAGAACATCTGCAGCGCAGAGTCCACAAGCCTCCCTTGGAGTACGTCGGATGGAGCTCTGTGGTTTCCAGAGCTTGCACCGCTCTTTGAGGTTAAAGGGCTCCCATTACAAAGGCCGCATGGTGGTAGCCGCAGAAGCGCGCACATGTCTCTTACCCTGTATACGCCTCAGGAGAAACGTGCGGGAGCCAAGCATGGCTTCTGCACAGCGTTCTGTTGTGTATATTTCCATGTGCAGGGAGGAAAGGACATGTGTGCACTTCAGATGATTTGGGTGGTCGGGGGGTGGGTGGGCGCCGATGGAGGACTCTCCTGGTTCTCCGGCGTAGGAGTCGAGAGATGGAAGGGTGCCCATTTAAAACGAATAAGTGGCAATGGCTGGAATGTGCACAGTCGTGGCTTGGTTATATGCATGATACAAGAATGAGGCACTACTGGCATGCATTGGCGGGAAGACCTGACGAATGCACTGCTTGTGTTTATCATCCCTTTTCCCGCATTCCCCCGTAACGGATTTGCTTATGTAAGCCTGTGGAGTTGTGCAGATGTTGTTTAAAAGCCCAGACGTCCAGAGATGTCTTCCCATTTGCCCAGTACCCAAGGAGATCCAAATGCTGTCACTCCCTGCCCCCCCCACCTTCCGTCTGTCAGAAGAAGAGAGTGGCGGGTCCCCAGAAGGCCAGAATTGGAGGGACTTCCTAATGACTGAGCAGTCTGAATCTGGAGTGCCCATGGACAGAAGGGACCTAGGGCTCCCCTAGGCTCTAAGCAGACGTGCAAGCCCGAATGTTCACCGCACGAGCAGAGAGACCCTGCTGCCGATTTCTTCACTGGTTAATGTGTTTTGGTTTTTCAGGCCTCTCAGTTCAGAATGTACACGGAGCTCTTGCTCCTTTGGCTATCCCATCAGCCGCCGCCGCTGCCGCAGGACGGATTGCTATTCCTGGCCTCACCGGGGCAGGGAACTCCGTTCTGCTGGTTAGCAATTTGAACCCCGAGGTTAGTGGAAGCCTACTTGTAATCTCTTCTGTTCACCTTCTTTCACTTTTTTTTTTGCTTCCTTCCGACGACTTTTCCACCTCTCACTTCTCTGAACCACTTTTTAAAGCCAGGTTTGTGCTGAAGCCGTCCCGAGGGTTGAATCTCTGTCCTGTCTTGAGAGGCAGGTCTGAAATGGGGGGTCCTCAGAAAAGCAGGTCAGCAGCCCCGCTTAATTCTGAGTGGGTCACTCGCCGGGCCTGTAAAGGTCTCCCCTCCCCCTTCCCGTGCCAGCTTAGCTTTGTTTTACATTTTTTTTATTTTTACCGCTGACCTGCTCTCATTCCCCAGAGCCGAAGTTCAGCATGACTTCCTCTTGAAACCCCCCCACACACACCTTTACCCCCCTGTGGTTTTGCCTCTGTTTGGGTCTCCTCTCCATAGCAGTAAGAACCATTAGTTCTCCTTTGGCATGTTGTAATGCTTTACATTGGGAGTGACAGTCTCCGTCCTGTCCTCTTCCTTGGGCCTCTTTATTTCCCCTTCCCCTGCCAGCTTAGCTTTGTTTCACTTTTTTGTGAGTATATTTCTTTTGCCATGCATTGACCCATTTTCCGCCCTTTATGAGATCTCCTTAAAATTGTGTGTGCCTTGTTTTCTGCTCTTTATAACTTCTGAATTGTGTTTTCAGTTCCATTTAACATGTTTTTTTTCCTTTGAGTTTGAAACATTTGGTTGCCTTTACATGTTCAAGGGATGCTACAATTGGGAGTCTGCAGAATTTTTCTGGGCCTTGATTTGGATTGGTGTGCACAGCATACGTTGCATCCAGGTTTCTCTCTGCAGTGGAGCCTGTTCCACTGCTTGGGTCCCTGGTGCTTAAAAAACTTGGTCCCTGAAACTGAATTCCCGCTGACATTGTTTATGTCTGAAGCTCTAAAAGGGAGGCATGGATGAGAGAGCCACTATCAATGTGAAACTTACAGGAAATTAACCGGTTTTTAATCTTTTGCTGTATTCTTTTACTGTCCATTATAACTGTTCTCTTCAGGACATGAGTTTTTTTTGCCAGCAATGCTCGCTCCTTGCATAGTCTTGAACCCACTGGGCCATTAGGATCCTGGTGACCAGGACTCCCCTTTTTTTACCAAGAAGGTAAATGAGTGGGGCGATCAGTTTAAACGGCCCCCTTTCCGGGCCAGGGAGGCAATAATAATGTTAAGTGCCTCTGGCTGTCTTCCCCCCCCATCCCCCTCCCCCAGCTGCACAGTGAAGCTTCTTTGCACAGAAAGATTGCTGCAAGGTTTCACGTTTGCATGCCCATTAAAGAGCAACTCTGTTCTTTAAAGAAGTGTTGCAAGGGCAGGATCCTGAGGGCCTGTGGTCAGTATTATTCACACACGACAGATGCACAAAAAGGTCAGACTCTCCAGTCGTTTTCCCCACTTGGTGCCCTTTGGTCAGTGCTGTAGGAGTTTGCGTTCTTCCCTGTTGGGGAAGCCTATAGGTGGTGTGGAAAGGGGTGGTGTAAACCCTGTCCTGTTGGTAGAGACGGGGAGAGACAGGACAGAGCATCCTCCTTTCTTAAGACACCCCACCCCCTTTACTCGTTCCCTCCGGCACCAAGAGATAGTGTAAGCTGTCCTGGGAAGCCAAAATGTCTTTCGGTGAGAGTGTGGCCAGGTTTTCTTGAAAAGGGATGCTGCTTTGAAAGGAAACGGTGGGCTCTGGGGCCTCCTAAATTCAGCACCCCCCTCTCCCATTATACCCAACCAAGATCTGTTGTCCTGCAAGTCAGCGGCAGCCGCTTTCACTTGAGAGAGGACTCAGTCAGAGCTTGGGCCCCGTGGTGGAGTACAGTGAAAATTGCTGAGCAACTTAACTTCATGCCTTTGTATATTTTTTTTAATGAACTCCTCACTTCATCCATCAAGCTTCTCTTTTGGGCGAGACACTTTGATCCCCGTAGTGAAACTGTGAACTAACAAGACTCCTCAACTTTTTTTTTATTATTTCCATTGCTTGTATAATCAGTGTTGTAGAAAAAACTTATCTATGCAAATGGTGGAAGAGACAGTATTTCTCCAGAGGGACTCCTCTCCTCTCCCGTAGTGGATGTTGACAGGATTGAAAGATGTGCAAATGGCAGGAAAAGGATTCTGCCAGGCGCTGGCCCAAAGCTGAGAGATCGGTTCTTGAGGCCCTTTGCGTAGCCAGTTGGCAGGTGGACAGAGAACATCGTGCTGTCCCGAAAGCCTGGGAGCCAGAAATGTGGGGAGATGGTGCTTGGATTTTTGGAAAAAAAACCAAAACCTTGTGTCTTGAGTTTTCCCAGGAATGGTTTTGGGCACTGACAAAAACCAGGTGGATTGGTTATGGGGAGTCCCATTGATTGAGATCCTGGTCGTTCCCCCTAAACTCTCTCCAAAGGCCATGGTCTCAAAGTGCGAGTTGGCCCTCAGGTTGTCTGTAGAGAAGGTGAAAAGTCATTCCCTCCCTAGTTAGAGGGCCCCAGTGGGCAAGCTTTTAATGTTTGTGCTTCTCAGGGTCCTTAAAATACCACTCAGGATAACATCTTTACACAGATGCTTTGGCCGCCACTGGTGGTGGCAAAGTCCTCTCTGTTCTCCTGGCTTCCGCCCATCTTACCTCAGGCAACAGGGAAGTACCTACCCAAATCGATCTCATTTTGCATTGGTTGAGTGGGTGGCAGCAGCTCTCTTGGTGCTGGCCGTTCACAAGGCACTGAATCAGACCTGGGCATGTCTCTGAAGAAAGGAAAGACTCCCCAGGAACTTCTGCCACTGCAGGAATCTTTAGGTCAGCCTGCTGATTTGGACGCAGCGCCTGGCTTTATGCACTCCATGGGCCAGCTGCACAAAAGCAGAAATGAAACAAACATCCTGGCCCGAGGTGCGTGCCCGTTGCCACGTTGGGCCTTTGGTGCATCTCGCTCAGAGCTGGCTGCTTTAAATGTTAACTAGTTTTCAGGGTCTTGGGAACAGCCTTTCCCTGGCGAGCTGGTGAGGTCCTTTAACTAGAAATTGATGCTGGGATCTTCTGCACGAGAAATGGGGATCTGACACTGGGACCTCACCATGTCGTCCCCCGTTGGCTGTGTACACTATAAGCTGGATTTTTCATTTCTACCGTTTATTGTACCTGCAAGTTGCTCCCTACCCAATTTGTAATCACTTGGAAGCAGTTCTCTTCAACTATAGCCTGAACCACTTTTTGACTGGCATGCATTTCCTGTAGAGAGCAAGTAGTGCCTGGAAAGACGGCAATCCAAGTTCTCAATTTGCAGTTTGAGAACTTTGTCCTTGACCGGCTTAGCTTGACCCAGTAGCTGGTCAGTCACTAAGTGCTGCTGTGGGAGATGCCTAAAGTTTGTGTGTGGGTATGTGGCACACATGAAGCTTTGTCTCCCGTTTTGAGCCTCCCCTTGTGGTTGGTCTAGAGCAGAGGCCTGTCCAAAGCTACGCTTCTTTCTCCTGGGCTCCCGAGGCTCTGGGAATGACAATCTCCCATTGCCCCCTTGTAAGTTGCTCTGCTGGAATACTGTCTCTTCCCTCTTAGTTGTATCTTAAGTGAAGTACTTTCCCTTTATCGTTGTGTTCCACTAGGTTTAAAAACCTATTAACTAGCTTCCCCCCCCCTGTAAAACAAAGTGTTGTACGTTTTTAGAAAAATCTATAAATCTTTTACTGATGGAACACGACATATTTTCTTTATGTATTTACTGACCTATGTTTTTTTTGCTACTTTTTTTCTTTTCTCTCCTCCCCATCCCTGAATATTTTATTTTTTTTTCTCTCCCCTTCTCCCCGATCCGGAATTTCTTTGCCAACTGACCTGCACGGTACTTCTGCTTCCTGTTGTTGCTTGAAACAAAATTAAAAAAAAAAAATACCCCCCTCCAAAAACAAAAAACAAAAAAAACCAAACCTTCCTGCTCTTCGGAAACCAACCTGCCCTTCAATATTAACCATCTTGAAAACTTCATCATCCATCAACCAATTTCGCCATTTCCTGCGGGGACTCTGCCCTTCCTTCGTTGTCGACGATTTTGCGCAACCTTCGCTCTTCCCTCGATTCCTTACCTCTTCCCTGTCCCTCCGCTGCCTTGCTCTGCTGTTCTCTAAAGAGAGTTACACCCCAATGCCTCTTTATTCTTTTCGGTATGTTATCATTCACACTTTTATTATCTTTTTTCATTTTGAGATTTTACTTCAAAAAAAAAAGTACGGTTGTGTTTTTGCAGTTCTGTTGAATGCTATTTTTAAAAAAGTTTATATACCATGCCATTTAGTGTTTTATTTTATTATTTTCCTTTTTTATGTATTGTTCTGCATGGTTTTGATTGCTTTGCATGCCTGTTGGGTCAGGAACAGAGAGCATGTGAAAGGGTTCGGTTCGACCCCCTGGGGACAGTTGTTCGGCTTTTAAGTTCTCAATTATCCCCAATTGTTTTGTGGCTTCTCAGATTTTATCCTGAGCAGCTTAGATTCTGGAACAAACTCCCTCTCTAGAATTGAGAGCAAATTCTGGGTGTGAATGTCTTTGTATTAGTTTGGTATACAGATAAGCAGGGTTTCTTCCTGAAGGACTCCCTTTTGTTTTCTTCCTTCGCTTCCCTAAGGGGTGTATGGTGACGTGCAAAGAGTGAAGATCTTGTTTAACAAGAAGGAGAATGCCTTGGTTCAAATGGCAGATGGCAATCAAGCCCAGCTGGGTAAGCTTCATGTTTGACTACCATTTTATCTTGCAGCTTGAATACCTGTAGGTCTGCCTCTCTACCCTTTACGGGTCCACATGCCCACTAAGATCCAGGCTCCAAGCCCTGCTGCGGGTGTCGGCTTTTCTGTAGCAGCTGCAACGCTACGGAATCACCTTTTGGAGGACAAGCGTCCCTTTGCTACCAGGCATTGAGGGGCTGCAGTGCTTTGACGGAGTGAGCTCCCGTCTCTAGTTCCAGCTCCTGCCAACCTAGCAGTTTGAAAGCAAGAAATTGCAAGTAGATAAATAGGGACCACTTCGGTGGGAAGGTGACAGCGTTCCGTGCGCCTCGGTGTTTAGTCATGCCGGCCACATGACCACGGAAACGTCTTCGGACAGCGCTGGCTCTTCGGCTTTGAAACGGAGATGAGCACCGCAACCCTAGAGTCGGACTCGACTGACTTTCAAGCAAGGGAACCTTTACCTCTGTATTTGCACTGTACCATTTTTAATGCACTACATATATATATATGTGTGTGTGTGTGTGTGTGTGTATAAATACAATCACCTTTGGAAAGCAAGGTAAACATTTCTCAATAAGGCTCTGGAAGTGATTGAGATAGGTGGGTGTAAAGCCCAAAGCCCTCCCTAAGACATTAGCAGAAATTGATTTGCTAAAAGCCCAAAATGGGTGCCCGACGATTACTTATTGAAGGTGTATGGTTGAGATACCCCGCTTTCCTCCCCAGGTTGTGTGTTTGTGTGCGTGTCCAGAGCAGCTTACAGCACTGTTTGTGTGCCCCTGTTATATTTTATCTTCGCAACAGCCCTGAGAGATAGGCTGGGCAGAGTGTGGTCAACTAGCCAAAGGTCACTGGCAAGTTTCCATGGCAGAGTGGGGATTCGAACCCGGGTCTCCTAGATCCTAGTCTGACATTGTAAGTCAGAATACAACAACAGGAAGGGCCCTATGTCTGCTAGTCTCCACCAGAACCTCTGGAGCCAGGCCTTACTGCATGAGAGCAAACCTCTCTTCTGTAGAAACTGGCCCACGTATTCCTTATGTTATCCACCTGTGGATCAGGTCTAGGCAGGCAGGGCAGCAATGCAACAGCTAATCCCCCCCCTCCTTTGATCAGTCCCCACCCCTAAGATAAGATTGCTTTGTTGTGGTGGTTCCGCTTAGCGAACGAGCAAGTGCTTTGTAGTGGGGTCTGATCTGACTTTGGGGCTCATCTCATTCCTGGAGCCCTCCATTTCCCTTGAACTTTGAGGGGGAGGTGTCATTTGTGAATGGGATGTGTGTGCGTGCATAGCTGATTTTCATGGTGGCCATTTGTGAACTGGGCATCTCCCCTTAGCCTCTGAGAATCCTGGGCAAGGGGCTCCCACAGGCTTTGGCATGAGTGGCTTCAGTGAAAGGGCCTCTCTCCAGCTGAATGTTTGTGCGGGAAGGGCCTGCGCTGTTCTGTACAGCTGCCTTGTGTTTGGGCAAGGGGGCAAGAGAGCGCTCTGGGACAAATAACGTGGGGCGAAGCTTTTGCAGCCCAGATCTGTATGCTTCCTCAATCTTTGGCAGCCATGAGTCACCTCAATGGTCAGAAGCTGCACGGCAAGCTGATCCGCATCGCCCTGTCGAAACACCAGACGGTGCAGCTCCCCCGGGAAGGGCAGGAAGACCAAGGGTTGACCAAGGACTATGGAAACTCTCCCCTCCATCGCTTCAAGAAGCCGGGCTCCAAGAACTTCCAGAACATCTTCCCCCCTTCTGCCACCCTTCACCTCTCCAATATCCCGTAAGTGCTCCTCGGTTGGTGGAGTGGGTGGTGCCGCCGTGCCCTTGGGCTTGTGCCAGTCTGTCTCATCCCCAGATCACACAGCAGCCATTGCGCTTGGGGGCAGGGCACCGTGGCAACCTGCAGAGTCAGGGGGGATTAAACCGATCATATCAATCAATTCTTTATTCGGCCAATGGCCATGTCCAAGTAAAAGAATAAAAGCTTTACAATTAATTGTTCCGATTTGTTGGTGACAATTAGTTAAAATCTGTACATAAAATATCTTGACGAATTCTACAGGCTACTGGGAAAAAATTGGCACAACTAATGGCAACCTGCTAAAAATTTCTTTAAAATATAAACTTTGGGGCAGGGCAACCATGGCAGTCTGCAGAGTTATGGGGATTAAAGTGATCATAGGAGCCAGGTGCTGTGGATCTGGCTGCTCATTCCACACACTGCAGGGTGGTGCATGGAGCACACACGTGAGCCAAAATGTGCAGACCGCATACTGATCTTATCCGCCTTTGCTTTCCTGTCACCTTCTCCTCCAGGAAAATCGGTGTCCCAAGGAGCAGCTCCTTGTAAGGAGTGCTATAAAGTTAGTTGTACGAAACCCAGTAGAAATGTTTAGAAAGGCAGCTACATCAGGGGTCCCCCAACTTTTTCAGGCTGCAGGAACCTTTGAGATCCTGACACAGCACCCGTGAGCACAGCCACAAAAATGGCTTCTGCAGTTTACATTCTGGCGCACGGTAAAAATTTCTCACGCTGTGGCGGCAGCTGCCACCAAAACAACATTTTTAAATATCTGCACAGCCAATCAGAAGCCCACCTGGCACCACCCATTTTCCAAAACCACTTGGTGGGCATCAGAAAAGGTTGGTGGGTGCCGTTGGTGCCTGTGGGCACCAGGTTGGGGACCCCTGCAGTAAGTGGTGGTGGCAGAGTTAATTGCCAGGTGGCCACATTCTGCATGCCGGCCCTTACTTGGATCCTCGGGGGCTGTCTCCCCTCACCCCCCACTCCCAGGTGTTGGACAAGCCTAACCATGGTGGGGGTTTTCTCTTCTTAGGCCTTCCATAACTGAAGAGGACCTCAAGTTGCTGTTCTCAAGTAATGGTGGAGTGGTGAAAGCCTTCAAATTCTTCCTGTAAGTCTGGTGTTGGCTTCCTTTTAGCTGCTAGGGAGGGGAGGTGGTATTAACGAGCTTCCCAAACTGTTAAAAAGGAGATTGCTGGCAGGTGGTAGCTTCCCATGAGGAGGTTCTTCTATGAGGCTTTGCTGTACGTACGGAAGCAGGGTCTTTGTCAAGGCTTTTTTGCTGCTGTCTCCCAAGTCCCCGGGTGGGTGGATAAAAGGAGTTTCAAGAACCAGAAGGGGTAATAGATTCTCCCAGGCTCATAGCTAAGGTGGGGCTGTTGGGGGCTCTGCCCCCTTAAAGGCACAGCCCCACAAGAATTTCTCCTGTAAATGCTTTTTTGCAATCATTTAAAAACACTTTTAAAGAGGTGTGTGCTCCTTTAAGCAGAGTGGGGAGCTGTAGTTGACTAATTCGTGCACTGAGTAAGGGGGTTGGAGTAGGTGACCTCTAGGATCCCTTCTAACCCTGTGTCAGGAAACTGGTCTCCTTCACTGGCAGAAGTGATTAAACTTGCAGCAGCTGCGAGCATGTAAGGAGCATGTAGAGTGGTTGACAGCTTGTGATTCAGAGATCTGGAAACAGCTTTCTGTTGGCTGAATGGCTTTTCTTTCTGCACTGCAAACTTCAGCCCCACAAGGCACAAAATCCTGGCTACGGGCCTGGATTCCCTCCCGTGGCTGAAAGCTGCACTTGCCGGTTCAGGGTAGGCTTGTCTGGCTGGACCGTCAGTCAGACTTGTGCCTTGCCTTTCATAACCACAAGTAGGAGAGCAGACGGAGAGACCCGTTGGAGGGCACTCCGTTGGTCTGCAGCTCTGTGTGGCAGCAGCTCTCCAGGCACAGCAAAGCCTTTCCCAGGCCTGACATCCTTAAAGCTGTCTGAACCCAGACTGAACCCGGAGCCTTTTCCTTCCAAAGCAAGGGAGAATTTTGCCTGTCGAAACCCCTCCATCCCGCCCCCGGCCCACACGATCTCTGTCCGTAACCTCACCGCTCCGTTCCTCCGCTGATCTCCGATGTTGCTGGTTGTTCCCTTTGGCAGGAAAGACCGGAAGATGGCTCTGATCCAGATGGGGTCAGTGGAAGAAGCCATCCAGACCCTCATCGACCTCCACAACCACGACCTGGGTGAGAGCCACCACTTGCGCGTGTCCTTTTCCAAGTCCACCATTTAAGCGCTCTTGGAGGGGAGCACGATGGACCCGGACTGCAGGCAAGAGGCAAAACAACCCACCACGGCCCCTCCCTCAGGCTTCAGCCTGGCATCTTGAAGGCTGAAGACCCGCTCGGGGCGAGGCAACTTCCGTCATTCCAGAAAGAAAAAAAACACAAGAAGCCACTTTAAAGAAAAAAAAAGCAGCTGAAGTGACCTTAAGAGACACAACAGATTTTATTTTTTTAAAGAGGAAAGCAGTTTACTGGGTTTTTAAAACAAAAATTAAATCTTAATTCACATTGCTATAACCTTTCTTGCAGCTTGTGGGATTACAATCTTGACTGTTTTGGGGGGGGGGGCAGGGGCAGGGTCAAGCATTAAACGTTTACATTCTTTAAACCGCTCTGGGAACGTTCCTCTTCCCCCCCCCTTCCCCTCCTTCCAGAGTGTGAAATACAGATAACGGTGCCCAGTCCCAGAAAACCGTATCAACTTCACAATAATGCCTTTATCGTCTTCAAGCCTTGGAAGACCCCAAGTTGCGTAGTCTTTGAGTCCTTTAAACCCTGCGGAGCACAGATACCTCCTTAGGGTTCACCTGCTCATCTCCCCTAAGCCTTGGATCGAATATCCTGTGCCTTAGAAGCCTTTTTTTTTGCTAATTTTGGGGAGGCTCGCTAGTACAAATTTGAAAGAACAGAGGAGTCCTCCATGGGTGACCCCGATTGCGTGGCGGAGGGGTGAGGCAGGGTGGACAGTGCTCTTCCCTCCTTAAGCAGTTGAGCATCTCTCCAGGAAAAGAACTGTCTTAACCCGCGGAGCAGTGGAACTGACTTCCTCAGTCCCGTGTGTCCCCAGCGGAAGTCTACATTAAAAACTTTTTGGCCAGCAATGCTGTTTTGCTCAGGGCTGGGGGAGGGAAAGGGGGAAGGCTCCTTTTCCCTTCACCATTCCCCTATCTGGCCGAGCAGGTTTCGTTTACTGCTTTAAAAACGAGTCGTTTTCCCAGGCTGTGGGAACTGAGCCAAGAGCATCAGACATTGTTTGTACAGGAGAGTCTTAAATCTTGGTCTGTATTCAGATCCTGTGTTCTGGGCTCAGACTTGGGGAAAAAAGGTTGCATCAAGTTGCCTTGCCCTGCCCTTCCCCTTCCGAGTTCATCCTCAAGACCAGCATCTCTGCTCTCCTACTAGTGACCTCAGCTTTTTCTTTTAAATCTTTTTATTACAAGTTTTTTTTTTTTTACAAAGCAGTCTTTTCTCTGCCTAGCAATATCTCCAGTTGACCAAATATTGTAATGGGTTCATATATATGCATATATATGCAAAAAGAAATAGCTTAACTTTTTTTATAGCTAAGATGGTATAAAATGTATCTACTTACTCTCGTTCTCTTACCTTGTATGCTGTATTCTTGTATTTTTATTTTTTGTAACCTGAAAATAGTGCCGTAGTTGAGCCAGATAAGGTCATGGCTGGAAATTAATCCTATACGGTGAAGAAGTAAGTACTTAAAATTAGTAGACACCAGTTATTTCAAAAGGAGGAAACGAACCAGATTTTAAGGGTGTTTTTTTTACTTAACCCAAGTTTATTTACTTTATTTAAAGAGAAATGCAACTTCTTCCTTCCTGCTCATATCTCAGAATGCTGTTCCTCCCGTCTCTCTTCTTGTGCCGATCTGCCTTCTTTGTTGTATTCCAGAGTTGCCTTACTTCTGCCCTCTTAACTTGTGTGAGATTTTAGAAGAACCAGAATTTTGTACTTAATATCAGGGTTGTTTCTGCAAAACGTGGACCAAAGTGTGTTGTTTTTTTTAAAATGTGTTTGGGTGTCGACTTGCTGTCGTTCTCTCCCCCCCCCCCCTTATTCGCAAGAGACATTGGCTTGCATGGGCTTTGGGAGCGGGGTGGAAGAGGCCTTTACCACTATTTTAATTTAAAAACTTCCCCCTTGACATGACGAGGGGCAGTCTCACCCGGGTGCCGTTGCGGGAGAAGGGGGGGGATCCCCACTGGGGTTGCCAGTGCACTCTGCTCAGGCTCGCCTTCCCCCAGCTGCCTTTGTCAGGTCCAGGAGGCAACGAGGAGGCGTCCACTTAGACCTTGAGAAGCCGCAGAGGATTCTGTGGCTGTCGCCTCGCCTGAAGTTGGCCCTGCAGGAGTTCCGGAAAAACTGCTCCGCATCATAGGTCCACCCCCCCACACACACACACACCCAATTGCCTCCTCTTGACTATCCAAGGTGTAACAGGCGGAGCTTTCCTGCAAACTGGCCTTTCGGCGGCGGACCCGTGGCTGCCTTTAATTTTTCCAAACCGTGGTCCTGGAGGCAGCCGGCAGCCAACACACCCTCCTCCCCACGCAAGCAGCCTGCAGGCACTCTCATTTTTCTCTTGGCCCTCTGTGTGCGTGGTCCACCCGGAGCAATAGGAAGGCTGCTCGAAGTGGGCCAGAGTTCCACAAGCAGGTTTTTCTTGGCCCATCGGACCCCCCAGATCAACCATTAGTGTCACTGGTAGGACAGGCTTGCATTAGAGAAGGGGGCTGCGTAACTTGTTTCCCTCCTTCCCCCAGAAGAAGTAAGGGAAGATCAACCTCTGCCCCAGGTTTTTTTAGATCTTAGCGGAACTTTGGAGAGAATGGTCAGATTTGATCCTGAAATCTGTTCGGCGGGCCTTTCTCAGAGGCTGGTTGGGACGGAGCCTCTCTTTCCTGACGCTTTCTGCGCTTGGATTCCGTCAGCAGACAAAGAGGCGTGTTTCCTTTTGGGTTTTTGCAGGAGGCCCCTGCCGTTACACTGCTGTTAACCCCCAGACCCAAGCAGACCAATGGGGGAGAGGGGGTTCATCTGTTCTTTCTCTCTTTTTTGATCCTGTGTGTTGCATGTAAATGTAATGAGAAAAAGGTGTAAATATTTATGATTTTTTTATACCTGTTGTAAGACATGAGGGGGCAGCAGAACCCAGGTTTTTACAGCAAAACGGATGTATTGTATATTTTGATAACCAGCTATTACAGGTTCAGTATTGGGGGTGGGGGCGGGGGCTGATTGTACGTGTAACATCAGAATTCATTGCCTGGCTAAAAAGAATGTAATACAAAAAGGAAAAAAAAAAAGAAAAATGGAAAATTAAAACTATTTTATAATGAATCTTAGTACCTTTTTCTGTAGCATTTAGTTCTTGACTTGTTCAGATTTGTAGCAAGCAGTTGGTGGGGGCCTGTCTGTACTTCCTTTTTATTTTTTATTTTTTGCTTTCAATAAATGTCTTCTGTATTCTTTGCTTCTGTTCTCCCTATCTTTTTATTGTGCTTTTTAAAATTTGTGCTTGACTTCCTCTCCCCCTTCCCATGTAATCCAGTTGCCTCCCATTTTGTGTAACCTTTTTTTGACTTTCCATTTATCTTCCTGGGGGGTGGCGGTGGGCTGGGTATGCTTCAGCTTTTCAACATTTCCCCACTATAGATTTTTTTTTAGGGTGTCGTAGAGGTGGCTTTAAAGCATCCGTGGCGTTACCTTACCTACTCTGGGAAGCATAGCGTGTCCCTCATGCAGCTAAATGTCTTTGGGCGGAGGATTGAACTCACAAAAGGGGCGACACCTTCTGCTTTTTGTCGAGCCCTTTCCTGCCACGTTCCCTGACTTTCCATAAACTCTCCCTTAATCCATGGAATAACACATCTTCCCATTGGCTACGTAACACCCTCTGCGGCTCTTCTTCTCTAAAGATAGATATGCGTGCCTGCGGATGTCTGCTCGGTCTTTGTGACCACCGGTTCCGGCAAATGAGATGGCCAGGCATGAGAGGAATTGCGGCTCTTCATAAGTGTGTGTGTATGTGTGTGTGTCTGCGTGGAGGGGAGTGAATAGCTCCCAAGTGGGTAGCTATCAGAGGACGAACCATTTTTATAAGAAATCTTCTGTTTGCCACCTCAGACTCCCAACCTTCCTATGCCTTTTGTGGGCCCCACGGTCCAGTTTCATATGTGTACATCTGGTTGGCAGAACACATGTCTGTGACAAATATTGCAGAGAGAGGCCGGGAGGTCCTGTAGCCGAAGCCAGGAGTGTATCACGCTACCTGGACGATGTGCCACAGACCTCCACCCGTCGGGAGGTGTGGTTCAAGCCCGGGTTCCTCAGTGTGACGTCTACCTCTGGGGTCCGCTGCAGCCACTCTTTGCCGGAGTCTAAAATTCTTTGGTTGAAGTCAGAGGTCATTTCGTAGAAAAAGAGGTGCAGGAGCTCATTAGCATAACTCAGCATAACTTACTTGCATATGCCACACCCCCTGACGTCGCCGGAAGTGTGTCAGAAGGCAACACCCACCGCTCAGGCTCCACTGGACTGTTTTGGATTGCTAGCTATTGGGGGGGGGGGAATGTGTAGACCTGTCCTCACAGAGGAGGGAGAGCTTGTACCTGAATAAAACTTGGTCTTAAAGGTGCCACTGGACTGTATTGGGCCGGGGGGGGCTCTGCAACTTACCTGGCTGCTTCTTGGTCCTTATGGCCTGGGGCTGCTGGGAGCAGGGGGTGGGGCTTGTTGCATGTGCTTGCCCCCTGGGCTCTTTCCTGCTGGAGCTCCGCTCCTGTGCGCTCCTGCAGGAAATGACCTCTGGTTGAAGTATATTTCCCAGGTGTGCTCCCTCTCTGTGGATACCTAAATGTGCAGATGAGGGCCATCCTTGGACTTAAACAAATATTTCTGCAAACTTGGAACTCGACCCCCTAAATTTTCAGAAAAATCCACACACTACAAAAGTATTTTATTCTTAAATTTATATCCCGCCTTCCCCACCGTGGCGGGCTCAGGGTGGCTAACATGAATGTAAACATACATTTAAAATTCCAATATGAACAACATTAAAATAAGCTTAAATATAAAGCCACAGGTACTCAAGCACCTAATGCAATTTCAAGATAGCAACTTTCTATTATCGCTGAGCGGCTTGCCTCCAGGCTCCTGCCAGCTGTTAGTCATCCAGCTGTCGGTGGTGCTGATGTTAAGGCCAGGTTGGTAGTAATGTTGATGTTTAGGGCCAGGGCCATAAAGTTGAGGCGGCACCCCCACTTGAAAGCCTGGCGGAAAAGCTCCATCTTGCAGGCCCCGCGGAACTGTAAAGGGTCCCGTAGGGCCCTGATGTCATCCAGGAGCTCATTCCACCAGTGAGGGGTCTCCACGGAAAAGGCCCTGGCCCTCGTAGCCAACCTGGCCCCTCTCGGGGCCGGGAGAACCACGCGGTTTTGGGATTCAGATCTCAGTGCTCTCTGGGGAACGTGGGGAGAGGCCGTCCCTTAGGTAGGTAGGTCCCCGGCCATATAGGGCTTTAAAAGTAAGTACCAGCACCGTGAACCTTATCCGGTGTGGTATACGTGGTGGGGGGTTAAATCCCCCCCCAAAGAGTAAAAGAGTATTCTCTGTGCATGTGCCAAGGATGGCGTTTAAGGCTTACTTTCTCCATGGCAAAGCGTCTCCGGCGCTGTGGCAGGCCCAGCGATGGCAGCAGCAAAGCAGCCTGGGAGCTGGGGACCATGCTGGCGCCCGGCATTGGACAAGCAGCAGCCCCAGAGGCTGCAACTCAGCAGCTGCGGCACAACCTGGGAGTTGCTCTGGGGTCCCCACTAGCGCCACCCCGAGTGGTGCTTTGGGCCGCCAGTTAAGTGGGGAAGAGCTCCCCCCCACGAGTTGCATCGGCCCACAGTTGTTTAATTATATTCTTAAACATCTGTGTACTTTTACATCAGGCCCAAATGCAGGTGCTGATGGATTTTTGGTGACTGGCTGCGTTCCATTATCAGTGTACCTTGTTGCCACGTAAACAGGATCATCAACTCTTTAAGAAAGAGGGTCTTCGAAATGGCCCTTTATCGATAGTCCACTGGGTTTGGATCCTTATTCATCATATACTTTTATCACCTTTACACTGACGGGATTGCGTGAACTCTGTAAGTAGAAGAAGAGGAGATTGGGTTTATACCCTGCCCTTCACTACCCAAAGGTGTCTCAGAGCGGCTTACAAACTCATTTCCCTCCCCACAACAGACAGCCTGCGAGGTGGGGGGGGGGCTGAGAGAACTCTGACAGAAACGGCTCTTTTTCAAGAACAGCTCTTATCAGAACCACGGCTTGCCCAAGGTCATCCAGCAGGTGCAAGTGGAGGAGTGGGGAATCAAATCCGGTTCTCCCAGATTAGAGTCCGCGCACTTGACCACTACACCAAACTGGCTCTCAAACTGGATAGAGGAGGAAGAAGAGGAGATTGGATTTATACCCCGCCC